AGTTGGAAAGCCATGAAAACTGTATATTTTGATTTCCTACAACACGAAAAACATTTGTAAAGGGATGTTAATTGCATGCCATGAGCCTTTGGGATAGTCAGAATAAACATGAAAATGGTAACCTGAATGGCTTGTCGTGCAATGTTTGTCTATGTCATCATCAACATTAATTAATTTATATTTTATAGTCATCCTTTTTTATGTGTAGCATATAGTGATGTTCATTTTATTAACCTTGATAACAATATCATGAAAATCAAAAGGAAGCTTCGAAGCTTCTCATTTCAAGCAACATAGAAAGTGATGGATGAGCTAAATGTAAACAACTTAACTGATTTATTTTTATTTTTATTGTTCAACCTATCTAGCTTGTATGGAGTAGATGTTTTCTTTAATTGAAATATGCTGCCAACCACAATCTATAAACTCAACCAAACTTGTGGAATTAATACTAATCATATACCACTTGACCAAGAAAACACCTTATTTTTTCACATTTGTCGAAGAATTAAACATTAGTTAAACGTTTGTTGTAGATTTGTCATTTTGTTGCCTTTTGATTTTTTTCTGACAAATCAATTATCCTTCTTTCTATCAATCTTTCTAGTTATTAGATAAAGATAAGTATCAAAATTAAAGGAGAGAATTAATAGATTTCACAAGTTTTTATTTCATATAAATAGTGAAGATAGATAGTAAAAAAAGATGAGACGATATTTAACTTTGAGAAAATGACTTGCGAGGGTAATTAACTTTTCGTCTTGTTCACGTTTAGGAAACTTTATTTTTTTGTATACATTTGACAATTTAACTTGTTAAATGTCTTCACATATTACCATTGTCACCTGCTATAGCCGGTGACAATGGTAATATGTGAACAAATTTAACAAGTTAAATGGTCAAATGTGTATAAAAAAAAGTTGTCTAAATGTGAACAATTTTTTTTTACAAATTTCTTAAGATTTTTTATAATTTCTTACATTTTATGGTATTTTTTTCCTATAAGTTTTTTTAATACAATGTTTTAAACTTCGCTTATAATTTTTTTTTTAATTTTTTTGTACTTTCATATAATTATAATACAAGTGCTTTCAAACCAAATGTTTTAAAATTTTCTTACAAGTTTTTAACTTGTTTTTTTTATATTTTCATACAATTTTTTTATTCCTTTCATACATTTATTTCTAAACTTTCCTTTACAACATTTTCAAAGTGTTTCACAGATTTTGTATGACAATTTAATATTTTTTTATAATGTTTTAAAATATTTTGTTAAATACTAGTTTAAAACGTTATATTAAAAAAATTAAAAGTTTATAAACTTCTAATTGAAAAGTATTAAAAAGTTGTAATAATTTTAAAACATTTACATTATATAGATTTTTTTGTTTTTTATTTGCTAAGTAATATTTTCTTTTTATTTTTTAAAAGACCTTCCATACTTATTGTTATATATTTAATTTATTTAATTTTATTGTTAGATACTATTTACTTCAAAAATATTGTATATGCTTAAAAACAAAAGAAAAAAATTTATAAGAGGCTATATAAAATATTTCACAAAACAAAAACATATTTATTAATTAAAAAGTAAAGCTTAGAATTGATTAATATTTAATTAATATTTAGAAAATTATGAATATTTTAAAAATAATGTTTGAAAAAAAAATACAAACAAATATGAAAAATAAAATCGCTATTAAAAGTGAGGAAAATGATTTATCAGGGTAATTAATTTTTTGTTTTGTTCACATTTAGACAATTTTTTTTGTACTCGTTTAACCATTTAACTTGTTAATTTGTTCATATATTACCATTATCACCTGCTATAGCCGGTGACAATAACAATATGTGAACACATATAACAAGTTAAATGGTCAAATGTGTACAAAAATAAAAAAAATTGTCTAAATGTGAACAAAACGACAAAGATGATTACCATGGTAAGTCATTTTCCCTTTAACTTTTCATAATTTATATTAAAAGACTTAAGGTGTTTTTAAAGAGGTCCGTATTAATGAAGCAATTGTAGTCATCATCACAGGTGACAAGGTAGTGAAGTGGAAGTCAAATCATCATCTAACCTTTAAGTAGGTTGTGAAAATAATGTTTACTAGTAAAGAAGTAGTGAACAAGAGAGAAGTGAAAAAAGAGAGAGATAGAGAATGGTCTTTGTAAGCTTCTTTGAAGCTAGCCATTCCACAACACAATTACTAAAAACTAGAGAGAGAGAGATAGATATATATTCTCTCTATATAAGCTTCCATGAAGTTAGTCATTCCACAACACAATTACTACAAACTAAGATGATATTCATCGGTGAAACTATATACCACCTAGGATTTGACACAAACTAACCACTCCACAACACAATTACTAAAAACTAAGACGATATCTACCGGTGAAAATATATACCCCCTAGGATTTGACACGTAAAAACCTCCTTATACCGTTTAGCCTAATGCACTTGTTTTTTTATTTATGATTTTAATTTCAATGCAACATATATGTGTCGGTGGGCTATTAGGTATATCTGTCGCCTTGAAAATATTATTATCTCAAACGTCAAAATTAATGATTTATCGTTACTTATAAAGGAATACTCACTATTTAATAACATCATGTCACCTTTATATGTTAAATTATAACTATTTAATAAAAGTAATACTAATCGAAATTAAGAAGTTTAGATTAAATAAATATAAAAAAGTTTTATTATCTAGAAAATTTTAAAAACTACTTAATGAAAACTAAAACTAAAACTAAAACTACTCTTCTTTGTTGTCATAGACTCATAGTCGTTATTGTTGGGAATCTTCATGTTGTTTATATGGTCCGCCAAATTGTTGTGTATTTGTTTGTTTTTCTATGGGATAATGACTTAAAAGGGTAATATATTTTTCGATTTGTACACATTTGGTCACTGAGTTTTTTTTGTCCACATTTACCCCTTCAACTTGTTAAACTGTATATATTCAGTCCTTATGACCGGCTACTCCAGGTTACCCGGTAAAAATGACTTAATAGGGTAATATATTTCTCACTTTGTACACATTTAGTCCTTAATATTCTTGTACACATTTAGTCCTTTTTTTTGTTTTTTTTGTTTTACAAAATAAGTCATTTTTTTGTACTCATTCAGTACTTATGAATGATTTTTTAGTTTTTTCTCATAAAATCTTACGTGTGACATTCATTAATGAGGTGTATGGGGCTTTTGATGCTTATATCCATCGCGATCTCGACTACTTGGTTGTTTAGGTCATGTGTTCTGAACGTCATAACTTCTTCATATAATCTCGAATTTTAACGATCTTTATATCCATGTGTTCGTATTTTAGTCTACTACAACTTTCATTTAGATTACTCCCATTAAAAAATAATATATTTTTACTTACGATTTTTATATCCATACGCGGTGGCGGATTTAGTATGGTCCCGGTGTTGCACCGACAACACCTGTTTTTTCTGTTCGCAGTGGAAAATTTTTCGCTTTTTTTTTTTTACGTTTATACCTATTTTCCATGTATCGGCAACACCTATTTCATCTCGGCAACACCTATTTCATCTCGGCAACACCTACTATGTATTACTGCGTCTTCCCCTGTCCATACGTTTTT